ACCATTCTTATCACTTTATATGTGTCTTTGTATATAAAGTGAGTCTGGGTCTTGAGGAATCTATTTAATAATAGAAGTGGGTTGACCTCGTTGCAACTTTTTCTTGTTGTTAGGGTGACTTAGTAGAACGCACCTAGTCTGAAGTCGTCTGCCATAGTAGTTGCCATGATTCCCAGCATCAGACAGTGGACTTGGTACATTCTCAACCGTTTGGCCAGAATCGTAGTCGGAGTTCGTAGCTTGGTGCGACGAATGGCAAAACTCACTGATGATGCCGAATACGATGCCGGCGAAACTTCTGAGAATGTACCAAGTCCACTGTCTGATGCTGGGAATCATGACAACTACTATGGCAGACGACTTTAGACTAGGTGCGTTCTGCTAAGTCGCCCTGACAACAAGACCAAGTTGCGACAACGATGTCAACCAACTTCTATAAATCGAAAGGAGACTGCGACCATGCCAGAGGCCACAACATCTTGGTCTTCACATCCTCTATTTAATAATGTTTGTTATTGTAGCTTTCAGTTCGTTTAGAAAGTAAACGAGCAGGGATTCGTAAATTAGCCGCACCAGAAACCGAGTAAAGATAAGTTTGGCGCTGCGACTTTTGGTTTAAGCTAAAGTTTTGGCTCTCAGTTTTCAATTATGATGCACCTTTATTGAGCATTTGTTTATTCCGCTAAGACAGACATCATTAGAGCATAGAACAATTGATTAGGAAAACGTTAGTATCTACTAAGCCAAGGATTTTGGCCAACTAACATGCCATCAACTTATTATTGCCCAATTTTGCTACTTGAATGGAATATGCAATTATTTGGTTAATTATCTCGTGCCTATGCCGTGTGAATGGCTAAGCATAGATGCATCCTTTAGAATGGGAAAGCCAAGGAAGTCAAAAGAAGACTCTCAAATAAAGACCATATTGTGTTGAAAGCAGACAAAGAAGAAACATTTGTAGTTATTGGTGTGATGAGTTATTTAAAACGAAATATTGCAAGCTGAAATGAGCTTTAAGCTTTTGGGTTCCAAGAGAGACCCTAAAGGGTTGTCTTCAATGATGTGAAGCAAAAGAGGGAGCTGAAGAGATGAAAAATGCATACATTTCTTTGAATGCGGTTTGCCACTTTGTAAGTAATATGACCAATAGTTGTTTTGTGACATTAAAAAAACATGATTTATTTGTAGCGAATTGGAAGGTCTTTATTTATAATGAATTTTTATGATTTCGTTTAGCCCTTAGATGGGCTGAGTTACACGAAAATTTCCACAATCCAGCGGATATAAGCTCTAGAATTAAAAGTAGATCAACATCAGGAGATTATAATAACTAAAAGGTTTCGTATGAAGTAAATAATGTAATAGAGGAAGTTATTACACGAAAAGGAATTCAAAATATCAATGTTATATATGAATAGTTATTGCTTTTAATGTCTTTGGGAATTCTTTGTAAATTATGATTTTGGGCTCTGACGATGGTTTTTATGGTGATACAGACAAAAGATGAACACAGAATTAATGGTGTTTCAGGAAAGTAAGCCGATGTTTTCTTCGCGCAATCCAGCAGCAACAACTCCAAGGCAATCATCCATTAGGTTTCTGGTGAAAACAATTTCCTAATCCCTTCTTAAGCGTAATGTTATGTACGCCACCAAGAATGTAATCTTAAGGGGTTTATCGAAACCAAGTTACCTTTCGTATCTAAATTATTTGTTTGATATATGGGCTTCTTTGCGGCTTGGCAACACAACAAAGGGGGTATATATAAGTTCGTTAAGTAAGTGAATAAAGATGAGTGCGTATGGAAAATTTGAAAATTTAAGTTTTATTCCCAATTTTGCTTATAATTCTACTTTTGAGTTATAAGTAGGATATACAAAATTAATGATAATAGGCAGTCTACGTGTTGCAGAATTTAATCGCATGGACAAGCAAATAAGACATTTATTGTTTAGATTAATTGACTAAAATAGGAAATATGATGGACGGAGACAGTTTATTCGGGTTTGACCAGTCCACTATGATCTTGATGTTATTTTCTCGTCAGCTTTCGAAAATGATGACGAATTACTATGAAAATGGAGCCTTCATTCCGATCGTTTTCGGGCTCTCCCTCACGTCCAGTGCTGTGCAAGAGATTGTGGAAGCCTCTAAGAGGAGGACATCCGCCAAACCCCACAGAAGAATATATCTTCATAAAGAACAGCTTGCAATGGTTCGTAGGTTCAAAAATTGGAAGCGGCCAGACACAAGACCAAAACTGAACATCAGATCTTATGGCCTAAAGCCAAAAAAAGCATTTCGAAATACTGGGAATTCACAACAAAGCCGGAAATTCGAGAGTGTATGCAGCAGCAACTAACATCCTTAATGGAAGAAGTGTGTAGGGGAAATTGAGTGGGAACAACAGGTGCTTGTTTGACCGGATTAGGAAGGGAGCAAGGAGCAAGATTAAGTGAACTTTACTGAAAACGTGAGATTTTTTCATATCACTGTTGGATAAATTAATCTATCAGCCTTATGTCACCATATACGTTTTAGCTTGAATAAAACCTGCCCTGGACTTGCTGATCGTTTAAAAATCTACTCTAAATGCAAACAAGAACGATTGCCATTCAAGAGGATGCCTGAGTATACTAGATTTTGTTTAAGGCTTCGCACTTTTAATATGAATTTTGAGCATTGCGTATGCACAACACACTGTAAATAAGTTCACTTCTGCCAATATCGCAGGGTTGGTATGCAATTTATTGTTGGAGAAACTTTGATTTTGTATTAAAGTGCATGAAGAAGAGATTCGAAGGTCGATCTCACCAGAAGACGACGGCTGAATTCTGTTGTACTGCAGCCGTTTGGCCTTAACGCGACGTGCATGTCTCGTTTCGGGTGATCACGGGTTGAGCTTTCGTCCATCATAGGATGAACACCATCATAGCCGGAATCCATTCTTGTAAAAGTCTCACGTTAACAAACAATCAGTCAATAACACTATCCAGCCCTATCCTATCTTTTATATATGCACATAATTAAAAATCGAAAATGTATGGGCAAGATAGATTTTGCTAATTATTTTTCATATTTGTCATGCTACTTATGCGATTTAGCTGGACAATCTTCTTGAACTAGTGTTAACTTGGGACTTTTTCAGGAATTATTTCCAACCCTGATGATGTCTAGCATATAATGGAGGATAGCTTAGCCCGTTTTAACCCGAAAATAGGAAGGATGTTTCGTGGACTGAGTCAACCTGAACGTCGTGTTAAAGTTACGAGACAGCCGGGTTCAGACGTCGTATTCTGGTGAGATCGGCCATCAATGTAATGTAATTTCATATGTAATTTCATACAAAATTAAAGTCTACCCAACATTGTTATCTTTGGGAATCCTTTGAAACCCAATTATTGATCGTATTCACAATATTAAAGTTATTTTTGTATATATGTATATATCAATATTGATATTTTCTGTGTGAGCATATTCGTTTATGCCTATTTATGTTGGCATAAAAAACCAAAGTGAGCTTTCTGAGTAATTAGATAACAACAGAAAGATCCATTAAGATTTAATTACCCTTTCTTTCTGGCTAAAGGGGATATAGCTCCATGATTGCCCAACGGTGTGCATTCGCTAAAACAAGGTGATTACATTTCTGGGCATAAATATCTCGAAAATGTGGCATTAATTAGAACCAAATTAGAATATATTGGTTAATTAACCCTCTTGATGAAAGAGGTTTAATCCCCTCCCTGTCTTTAATTCTACTAATCAAGCGTAAAAAGTTCCATTTCGCCTCTCCGTCTCCATTCCTAACATTTATAATGCCTAATATCCTGCAATCATCGACAGGTTCAATAATTTTGCAAATAGTAACAGACATGATACACTCTAATCAACAAACAGATGAATGTTGTCGTGCTTCTGCCACTCTTGAGCTCTAGATACAAAATCCTCTTTACCGTTTTTGTCTTCCACCAGTCTCTCCAACAAGAAGGATGCATGAACACATGAGAAAGGTTATTAGGGACTATCAGCAGATATTTGTTAAGAACTGTAGTCACCCTAAATCAATTAAGATGATGAAAGGATATTCAATGGTATCGTGAAACCTACTCATATAATTGTGGGAAGATTCACTATCAGTCATTTCTCTTCTTGA